GTCTACAATAAAGTCTAGGGGGGGCGGGGGGGGGAGGGGTTGGGTTAATGGATGGGGTCAAAATTGCTTCATCGAAATTGATCCAGGTAAAGACAGTCCCCTGTGACCTCTCATGTGAGCTATCAATTAGCAGCTGTTGTTATGATGTGTGCGGGGGGGTGGGGAAGGGGGGGCGACACTCACACAAAGAATTTGGCATTATTAAGAGTAATTGGGTTTCTTCTGTGTTTAAAAGCTGTAAGTGCATCTCAGTCCAATCTGTCTCCCCACTCATCTCTGCTGAGACCTAGTACCAACTGTCTGCCTTGCCTCAAATCTGAATCTGTTCTAAATAAGGCCTCTTGTCCTAAACCTAAAACTGTTTAAGAGCTTGCACAATATATAAGGGAGCACAACCTGCCATTTTACCACTTAACTTGAAAACCACAGGCTAGAAAAATTAGTACTTATTATTTCTTAGATCTAAAGTGTGTGGGGCCCCTGCACAGCCAATGAAAAATGAATAACAAGCATTTCTTATCGTACCTAAGGGCCATGCAAGTATCTAAGCTATGTACATAACAGCCGTTCAGAGCAGGGGTGTCTCTATTCCAGGATTACTGCCAAAACCCTAACTTCAAATCCTTCACTATCTTGCCCAGCAGGAACAGAAAGTGTGACTGCAGAGAATCCTGTGGTCTCTCTTATGTAAAAGATATTGAGCACGCATACGATTACCCAAAATGGTCTCTAGGATCTCCCAGTCAAGAAGGGATAGAACCGCTCAACAATATTGCTTGCTACTCCAGGGCGGGTCTACTGACATGCCACAAAATGTCTTGTCCCCTGGCGTCAAGTGCTGTGCAATATAATCACTTAAGCACTGTTCATCGGTGGATGATTATTAACAGGTGAAATACACAAGTGCAGTTGAATACTCTGCTTTTTTCTCAGCCAATTACATTGCAACCTCCCATCCAATTTACTGTCCACTCCAGTCCTGTGGTCTCTTTACCAGGTTCCCCTCCTCCTACCCCCATCTCACTGACTGTCTATATTTCAGAGGAATTACCCAAGTGTATGAGCTTGCACTTGACAAGCAGTTTCACTTAGAAATATTCAGTCCACATGGCTCCTCTCTTTACATCAAGCCTTCTGTAATATTTCTCTGCCCTTTTTATTTCCATCCATAATTTTAGCTCAGCTGCCAATGTCACTGATGTCCTGGATGCTCTGTCTTCTGTGCCATTCATTAGGAGTTAAGTTAGAGCAGACATAACCCCAATTCCTGCAGTAGCCTAAATTCCCCCCGCCCCCTTTCCACACACACACACAATTATTGTAACCCGTGTTTATCTAGCATGCATTCTAGGTAACATTTTTCCTACCTAAGGCAATTTGAAATGATTAAGTTTTCATGAGATGCAATATCAAATGCTTTCCTGAAATCAAAACAGATGGCAACTACTGTGTTCTCCTCATTCTCTAATTTTATACTTCCAAGCAAAAAAAACCTAAACACGAAGCTTTGTTAGCAACATTTAAAATTATCTCTATTTCGATTCCTTTTGTCTCACTGGTCAGCTCAGCTGTAATGAGTGAAGCCAATACAGACTGAAAACACATCAAAGTGGCTCACACACCAAACCTGGTGGAGCTGGGATTAATTCCATTAACAGCAAGTGGGAAAAGAGACCACCTGTCCCAGGTAAATCATACAGTGTAAAGTCTCAGCATGTTGTCCTAATTCAGAGGTACCAGAGAATGCAACCAGAGTTCAAAGTACACTCACTACCAAAGTCTGAGGATGACAGACTCCCTTCTCCTTCAGATTCTCCTCCACCAGAAGAATGAAAGCATACATGTATGAAGGTAGATTATATATTAGCGATGCCATTGTCTCATTTGTCTGTTGAAGGCAGTTTCCCTATTGTAGTTATTTATTATTAACTGAGCATATCTACACGTACGCTTTAACGCACAGTAGACTATTTCACTGTGTATTAAAGCATCACGGAAAAAAGTGACATTATGCTAATGCACAGTAAAATAGTCTACTGCACATTAAGTGTCACTAAAAAAGCATGCAAATGCACTACTGTGCATTAGTACAGCCCAATGCACATTAATTTAGTACCTCACATTGGAGGTACTAAATTTAATGCGCATTACTGCACCTGTAGACGTGCCCACTGAGTAGCTGTTAATTAATAGCCCTGGGCTCAGCTCTATAAAAGAAAAAGACAAGCTAAGATTTTTCAAAGCGATATTTAGAAATATGTCACCCAGTAGGGGCAGAAGGCTTTCACACTGCAGTGACGCAGATAGCGTTCATGATATGGTGAATCGTGAATGGAGTCTGTGCTCCGCAATAGTGCATCTGAAGGGACCTCATAAAAGGGCTCTTTAAAAAGGGACAGGTCATTCTGTTTGCATGAAGGAAGCAAAGGGAATCAGACAATTGCACTTACGTCAATTCA